GACGATACAAGTAGCATTTCTCCAAATAATAGGAGGAGATAATCGAGCCCTGTAATTAAAGATGAAAGGCTGATAGGTCTTGGAGGAAGAATTTCGTTCTCAGACGGTTAGCTGTTCTTAATTTAATTGGCTTTGCAAATCCCTTTATGTGGGGGTTGCGCCCAATGTAATGACTTTCTCCGCCAGATATATACGTTGTAATCCACACCTTATAAATATAAAGAGGAATCTTCTCCTCCTGGTAATTAAGATCAGAAAAGGAATGGTTTTATATCTACTATCTGGAAGCTCGGCTTAGGCTCAAACTCTCAAACGTCCCACTCGTATAACATCCTTTTAAAATAGCAAACGTTACATCATACGTATTCAGAGGACTGCTTAAATATTGGTAGAAAATTATCCTCCTAGTTGATCATGTATAGTAAATATTTTCACTGTAAAACACAACAAGTATGGATTAGGTACTTACATTAAATTTCCTTGTTAAATGATGATGATGAGAATGTCTATCATTAGGACGACCTCGAAGTGAAGAAGTAAACACTTAAATCTTGCATGTAACAAGGTATCGTTAGGCATGAATTAATCCTAGGTACGCAATTTCAAGAATTTATTAGCCTGAAACATACTAAGCTATTTACAATGTAAACCGTTTTTTGCTTATTTATGTTTCAGATAATTATTCGACTTCCGAGATCAAATTCTCATTTAGCAATAATGATGCCTACATACGTTACAAACAGTTATCCACTAATGATTCAATTGGAAACATACCACTAATGAATCTGTCGGCTTCTGCTGTGGAATGACATTGACATTGCCAATCCCATTTCCACTCAACCGGAAAAAACCCCTTATAATTAGGGCCAAACCGTTTGTTTGTACCAACCAAACCGACGCTAGGTACAAGTTTAAACTGATAAATATGAGGATATGCAGTAACAAAGTACATATTTTAGGACGCACATACGTACTGCCAGATTTCATGAAATAAAGATAAGGCGGTATGTGTACTATTACAAAAAGTGCTGAGGGTGGTCAAACTGACAAGCAGGAAGGAACTCTCTCACTCTCAATTGTTACATAATTCATTCCTTACCGGAGCCAAAATCCCAGCCTCCCTGCATGTTTCCCATTCTGACCAGAATCCTTGAATGAAATCAACCACATTATCAATGGCCCTGTCAACTGGTAACGATCAAATTCCAGTCATCATCATACATACCACACCACAAGCAAAGTCTGCCAATTCAGCACCACCAACCAACCTCATCTGGTTGGTGCCTGCCATTTATTACAATTACTGGCTGAATGACTCTCCCGCTCGCGATAAGTCTTATCACCAAGTTAAGTTTAGCATAACAGAGTTCGTAGTGAAATGATGGCTGAAATCAATTAACGCTCTTTGGGTGAGAAATATTATCACTTGCAACCATACGGAGTGGCGTAGAGGACTGGGTGAGGTTGCCAAGATCGAGTGTAAAAGGACCGACAGGAAGATGAGGAGACGATCCAATCCAATCCTGCAACAGAGAACAATCGCGTTATCACCCCATCACGTAAACAATAGGGATTCCACTATTCTTCTCCACACACATGCGAACTTGTTCCTGGTGAGTGAAAGTAAGTGAAGCGATGATCTATACTGCCAGCCAGCCAACAAACAATTCGCACAGGGGCGGCGGACAGAGTGGCAATGTCCCCACGATTGTTCGATGTCCCTATCGTCTGCCCATGTTATATAAACCCCAGATGTGTCCCCAGAGGTCCCCAGGCTTCCGCGGCCCCTGAATTTCGCATCCAATCCCATGCAACCTCATCTCTAATCTACTCATCCACCCACCCACCCACTCACCCACTCCTCCAAAAACAGGCCTGCATTATACTACGTACTAATTCCTAAATCTTTAATGAAACTTGCAGCAGCAGTATCCGACAACAGGATTTTCTGTTAGATGCGTCTGAAAATGACTCTGGTGCACACATTGTTTACCTGGATCAAAGTTTCATTCATATTTTTAGCTGAGGAATTCATTCTGCATGAAGAAGCAAGCAGAATACTTTAATACTTTAGTACTACCGAATGAATGGAGTATTAATGCTCCAGCTTATCCATAGCTTGCACTGTTTTATTTGTTCATTGAATTACTTCTGGTCCAAAAATCTCCAATTTCATTCAAACTTAAGTATAAGCTCTTTTTTGTGAGTCAAAGGGAAATAATCGATTCCTTTTTATTTCGAGACGACCTGGGCTCCAGTTTTTGTCGTGTTTACGGATCACCGATCTTACTTACGGACATGAATTTCCCTTATTCCTCCCACCCACCCACTCGTTTCGAACAAGTTTTGACAACTGACATCTCTCTCGAGTAATTCTTCTTGGCTGGGTCGCTCCATTTAACTGATGGATAAGGTGGAAGAGAGAGAAATTGGGTGGACACTTTTCTATCCAACTAGCTCGAATACGTAAGACTATAAAACACGTGGATCTGAACGTGGACATACTTTTGTATCCAGGTTTTCCTTTCATTTAGTTGACAGGGGGAAATTCACTCGTATGGAGAGAGAGACATGATGTCGGATTATGGTTTGTGAGCAACAAAGGGAATCGTAATTTGTGTGTCATTACGACAGATAAATGTTACACATCGCATACTCATTAAAGGCACATGGTATAAAGATAGAAAGTAACAGTGGAGGTCTCCCAGAGGAGGCTCTCCGATTTTGAGAGTCTACTAGTGTCAATCGATTCCAAATTTAATTAGTATGAAATTTGCAATAGATACGACCTCCCAATACTCAGGTTTGGCAGAGATACTTGCACCCAAAGAGGAGAAAATACGTCATAAAATTGACAAATTTTATATTTCCCAAATTTACTGCGCATTTTCCCCTCTTCGGATGCAAACATCTCCGCCAAACCTGCGCATTGGGAGATCTTATCTTTTGAAAATTTCATACTAATTAAATTTGTGATCAATTAACACTAATTTTGTCAAAATCGGAGAGCATTCGCTGTGAGATCTCTATTGTAAGTCCATAAATATTCAACGTTACCCAGTAGCATGTTAGCTAGTACATATGTATGTATGTATGCATTAGTATAGCAATATTACTGCTCCACAAATTCCACAAAGCAAAAAAATGTGGTCGTCTCTACTGGATGAGCACCAAAATGAAGGAATTACGAATTTTCGCCTTCATTCCACGACACTTGAGGACAGATTTATAGGTTCTCTTAACCGGCAAAAACAAGCTTGAGAGATGACACGTAGAATAAATTATTTGTCGTTTGTCATTCCTCTGCTCCCCTTAACCTCTAACGCAGAATGGATAAGACTGTGAGTTCACTTAGGTTCAATTCAACCGTCTAGTGCACAGACAGATAGTGGCAATGGCAAGAGTACAGTATGTGCAAAAAGTCCAAGGTTAGGTTAGCATGATGATGCAAAGTGTACGAAAGATAGCGAAAAAGAGAGAGAGCCGAGAGGGTAAAAGCGTTTTAATAGAAAGTGGCAAAAGATGTGAAGAAGTATTTAAGGATTTCTTGGTTGATTTCGTGGAAGCAGATAACTTCCACAAAAGGAACCATTACAAGTATCTCTGAACAAGAAGAAAGCCTCCTAAAACATACAAAATTACTCTCAGAGTGGTAGTCTTATCTACCCATGAAAAAAGAGAGTAGCATTTTCAACTTTATGCAGACAGACATACGTACACTCTTAGAAATCTAGATAGTCAGGCAGGTCTAGAATTCTTCGGTATTAAAATTTCTACCGCTTGGTATTAAAATTATACCGGACCATAACAATTTGCTGTGTAAAACTTTAATACCGAGATATTACTACAAAGTATCACTTACTATTACAAAATGCTACCGCTTTGTATTAAAATTATCAGTATACCGGTATTAAACTGAGCGACTGCCGCACAGTATTACCGCACAGTATTACCAACCAATATCAACTTTTATAGAGTCACATATGATTATGATAACCGCTTGGTAATATTTTAATACTAGATTTCTAAGAGTGTAAGTTTAGATATATGCATGTATCGTCTTATACATACCAAAATAAGTTGACAGCTCTTCTCCTACTGCATGCTGCATCTGTTGTATTTCATTTCCTTGTCTAAAACAAAATGATTTATTTTTGTGGAAATTTTATGTACAAGCTTCTTTCCAACTTGAACACGTTCCTCAAACCAGTGAACATTTTGTTATCAAGGTAATCCACGCCTCTCCACAGTTCACATACTTATTCTCCCGGTTAATAAACCACTTTTCACGAAATGGTACAATATACATGTATGAATTTATTTATGACGTGCAGAACTAACGATGTATGATCCTTGATACAAATGCATGTATTATTTTAACCCTTCGTACATAGCAATAATTTAATATTTAGGACGGCAGTGAAATTAAATGCTACCACTAAAAATAAAACAACCCAATATGCATATGAATACATGTTTAGGTACATGTGCAAAATATGTGGAATAATGCGCTGAATCGGTAATTCTACTCTTTATTTTACGATTATAACTCTTTATCTAATAATTTAATTGAGCCAACGTTAAAGAAATGTAACCATCACCTTCTTTAATGCGGGGACATGAAGCGGAAATTTTTATTGGAGATGTGCCTATAAAGTCGAGAAATTCGAGACGACATTGATTGGCAGAGGACCAAAAGGAAGTGTGTGTTTCAACAATAACAATACGTCCAAAATGCCATCATAGCGGACTCAAGATGGTAAATATGTGGCTGGCTTTTAACCACTGGGAATAGCTTTGCTACCCGAACGGCAACATTATTTTTGCTTGTAGAGGTGTATCCAATTACACAAGTATTGCATTGTGTTATTGTTGTTGGGTTGTATGTCGATGCAAGTATTTCAATTAATTTTCCACCTCATTACCATTCCCTGACATATTTAAGTACATGCCATGATGAATGAGGCAGACCTAGCAGCCAACCAAATCATATAAACCATCTCGTAAAACACCGGCACAAATGGAGGATAAAAATACATAATTTTAAAATAACTATGAGGAAATTTCCCACAAAAGTTTTAATTTTTACTAAAATTATACATATTGATAAGGATCTTATCTATACAATATATAAGCAAATTTTGTCTGAATATGTTTCTGAGTACGATTCCATTAGCAGTGGCAGTTTCTAGAGGAATTAAAGTCGTTAAAATTCGTCTCAAATTTTTATGTGTTCCAAACCTAAGAAATTCCAAGTAAATTTACTAACTAACAAGGGAGGTCTCCGAGCGTATGCTCTCCGATTTTTGGCAAACTAGTGCCAATCGATCATAAATTTTATTAATAAGGAATTCGCAAGCGATACTATCTGTTAATTCACAGATTTTGCGAAAATATTTGCATTCGAAGAGAAGAAACAACACCCTAAAGTTGGCAAATATTACGATTTTAAAATTCACTGCACGTTTTCTCCTCTTTGGATGCAAATATCCCTGCCGAAAGTGCCGATTGGGAGATCGTGTCTTTTGCAAACTTCATATTAATCAAATTTGTCATCGATTGACACTAATTTGCTCAAAATCTGAGAGCATACGCTGAGATACCTCCCTTGTAAGTTAGTCAGTCTACCAATAAATACGCGACATATTCATACCCCAGTCTTGATTTATGTCCCATGTCACTACGATACTTACCAAACAATTAAACCGTTCAGTAATTAAGTTGATCATATTATTTATATCGAAGCAGTTTGATTTATTATTGTCGTCGCACACACAATGCCTCGGCAAAAAGGATGTGCAGAGTTATGTGTAGGTATGTCTCAATGAAATTAAAAGCACAGCAAACATTTTATTGCTAATAATACGTCGCAGTAGGTATTTAGAGAGTGCATGTATGTTATTTGACAAATAACTTAACATTGATTTTGACATTCTCGTCTTATAATAAGTCGTCTCTGGAATTTAATAACAATAATTCATTGTGTAAGGCTGCATATTCGTGCTCCTGTTTAGTCTCAACTCTTTGTTATTCAATTTCTGCAAAATATTGGCATTGTCAATCAAGCAACACTGATTTTCATGTTGTTCTCTGCTTGACAATGAATTTTTGCAAGGAATTTTCATGTTAAAATACCAGCCCACTTAAACTTGTGCAAAAAGGGTCAATCTCCCGATACGAGGTTTTGCCATTTGCCAATAATTGTGCTCGTGTTTAGCAAGGCTATCGAGTTATTGACACCAAAGTCAAGTCGAAAAGTAGATATTTTCTCCGACGCCAATTTAAAGTTTCATCACAGATACTGCACTCGTGCAAAAAGCGCTTTATTCGATGACTCAAAGGAATTGATTAGTTTTCTCTTACGAAATACTTCCATTGAAGTTCTTTTGAAATTTTATCAGCACTGCATGCACTGCATTTCTCAAAGCAAAGTGAAAATTCGAAAAGTGAAGTGACAGCAGGTTTTAAATACGTGTATTCAATTCAGAGGCAAATGTTTTGGATTTCAATTTTAACGAGTATGAAAAACTAGTCGTATTTCTATCAGTATTATTAGTTAACACTATTTTACATCGGTACGGGACACCTTTGTATCAATCGATATATGCAGTAACTGCTTAGTTCATTGTGTTTTTCATCAAAATAATTTTTGTCGTCGCGTGGCGCAACTGTAAATAAAAAAGGTAACAAGTGGCGTGAAGAAAGGAATGATGAGACTTCATACTTAAAAGGATTACTTAATTTCACTTCCAACGAACTAAAAAGTCAAGTGACAAAAAATACAAGTTTGTCACCGTTCGATTGCACAATGTGATTTGTTGAGAGAAAAACATCTAAAAAAAGCGAAGCTCAAAGTGAAACTCAAACTAGCAACCTCCTCCGCAGTGAAAGTTGATGAAGCCTTTTTTTACGTAAGTGATTTATACAAATTAAGTTTTTAAAAGTTCAAAGTGTGGGAGGCCTTTTAAGTAATTTAATTCGGGAGTAAATAAATTGTAGCGTGCAACAAACGACCAACTAAAAATGTTTCACAACATATAAATTCGATTGTACGACTATTTTAGAAATGCAAATTAAATTAAAGTACCGTGGGCTGCGTGATTGTATTAATTTGGTTCATTGTACAGAGTTGTGAAATGCCACGACCCTTATTTCTAGGGGTGAATATCTACGTCACAAAAGTAGCATGATTTTCGCAACATGCTACAAATCTAATAATGAATATGATACCTTGATAAATATGCCGGAGAAATATCGTGGTCGGATTTTTTTTGTACAAATGAGATTACAAACTTAAAGTGACAAGTTTCTAGAATCCGTTGAGTTGAAGGATTTTCGGGGATGACAAATTCCCCGATTCGTGACAGGATTACTAGGATTAACTCGTAGGTTTTCGCACCCGTTTATTTGAAAAATTGCAGAAATGTTAATCTAAAGATATGACGTCTCATTTGTTGCTAACTATCAAAAAAATTGGAATATTGGGATTTAGAAAAAAAGATTTGGGGAATAAGGTTTGACGTCAACCACACATTTTTTGCATATGTAAGAACATTGTATAAACAGTAATCCCCAAAATTCCAGCAAGTCCCATGCGAATCACTGCTTTAACAAGATCATAAACAAAATAATTGTGTATATCACAGAGTCGAAAGTTTTCTTAAAAAATCAGCAGCACAAATCACTTCATCTCGCCCCAAACTGCATAATTATTGTTTTTTAATTTTCTTTTCGCTGGCAAATGTGCAATTACTCTGGACAAGAAGGCGTTATGCAGACGTTTAGAAATACGGCCGAATGGTTATTGCCTACTTGCCTGGCAATGGCAGTTAAAGAAAATTGGATCTTTAGAGCACACTAACAAGAAAATATTGTGCATTTGTGTCGGAAACCGTGGTCTGGGTGGCATTTCCTTGCTCCTAATGTTGTATGCATGTTCTGCTACATTAAGAATTAGTATTCATTCACAGTGAAAGAGTTTACTTTACAGGGCAGAAAAGTCATAGTGCGCTCAATGTGGGAACCATTTATTCACTTTTCCCCCTTCACAATCCTGTCTTTTTGAGCAGTGGCCGCGGAAGCGGTGGGGACATGTGGGGACGCTAACATTGTAGGATAGGGGAGGGAGGGGTTCACATAACATGGGGAGATGATGGGGACATCTAATAACCGTCGGGACATTGTCCCTCTGTCCGCGGCCACTGCAGTTTTGATGAGAAACACACAGAGTCGAGTGAAACGGAAGAGTGACATCAAAAAATCTAATTACATTTATGTCAAAAGACGGATTGACATTAAACTTGAGGGATGACGACAAAGTGACAATTTATTCATACTCTCATGCCCTTTCTAACCAGTAAACAACCATGCAAAATAGGATTGTGGGTGACTGCTGACATAATCGAGGTTGCGAGATGACTACCCCAGTCAGATTATTGCATTCAAGTGTAAAATTATTGGTTGAAAAATATTGGAAAATTTGGATATTTTCGAACAAAAAATGGGTAAAAACGGGTCCAATGGGTACATAGTGCATATGTGCAATGACGTTGTACAGTGTGGCTAAAAAAATAGAGAGCTATGCACAAGTTTGATTGACCTTAAATATATAGCACACTTTTTATAATTGATTAATTTCCAACAAAACATAATTGCAAGAGTGTTTCGCAACTTGGAAAATTAAATATTCAGTAGCGCATAGAGCTTTTAGTTTGCAAGCTTTTTGCAATGACATTCTATTGTGTGTGGATATGTACATACGTAGAAACCGGTTCGGTCAGAAGAAGAACCGAGGTCTCAATTATTATATTTAACAAACCACCACCAACCAGTGGGGAAATTGGTTGTTAGGAGGAGTAGGTGCATACATGTGTCTATTTAATATGGCAACAACGAAAATTAATAATAAGCCAGACCAATTTGGCTTTCGTTAGTAATTACGTATGATGGTCCAAGATGTATGTATCTACAGTGGCCGTGGAAGCCGTGGGGACATTAACATTGTAGGATAGGGGAGGGAGGGGTTTATATAACATGGACAGACGATGAGGACATCGATCAACCGTGGGGACATTGTCCTCCTGTCCCGCAGCCACTGAACACGAGAAATTAAAGTCCAAAAAATATAAGAACAATGTAATAAGTCATGTTTTCCGATTGCTTGGCTTCATGGAGAGTAAATTCCTCTTCAAAATTAACTCTGTAAATTAACCCTCTTCAAATAAATACCTTAAGACAAACATTAATTAACTCAACAGTTGAAACCTGATAAATTATACCTAAACATTTAACTCATTCAGCTTAAATCGTCGTGTCCATGAAGAAGTAATAAATAGGCTTCCTTCCGCCATTTGCAGTGCGATTCATTCTCTCCTCGAGCAAAATTCGATCCATTTATTTTCTTGTCACAATATACAAAACATATCTGAGCCACCACGCTTGTCGTAAAGTTTTAAATTAGTATCCAATTCAACTTTAGTGATCATCGTTGATTCTGGTAATAAAATTGGGAGGCTACAACAGGGACGGATTACGATTACGCAGTGGTACAAGCGATTTGCAACTTTACTGTGTTGTAAACCTGCTAGGCCGATTCTCCTAGACCACAAATCGGTCGTAAATAACTCTGTCTCAGTGTGCCAGCGTCAACTGGAGTGAATTACGTTTTTACGCGTACGCAGGTTGTCTAAATATAAATAGATTGCAATTTATCTCGGCGAAAAATGTAATGTAAAATGTGTGGAAAGAATCCAAAAAAGCTGTAAAAGTCGAAATTACTTGGTGAGAGAGGGACGGAGAGCTCACGAGATTATTATGATGATCGGTATACACACTGGAATATGTACAGAATAACGTCACTTCATTCATTCAGCTAGGTAATAAAAATATCTTGTCATAGGAAATATTTAAAAACAGTGGCCGCAGAAGTAGTGGGGACATTAATATTGTTGGATAGGGGAGGGAGGGGTTTGTATAAGATAGGCAGATGATGGGGACATCGAAAAACCGTGGGGACCTTGCCCCCACGTTTCCGCGGCCACTGTTTAAAAATTCCACAAATGGGAATTTTTGGTTCAATGTCTGAGGAAATCGAAATCCGTCGCGAAATTCATGCCGAAAGTTTCCATTAAAATGCACTGGATTGACTTTCATGATAGTTTTTTGAGTAGATTTATTCAATACGTACGCCATCCTCGTTTTTTGTTCTTTTCTCACCACCACAAAAAAAACCAATAACATAAGTCGCAGGGTTACATAGGTCCACAATTTGCATAAAACTCTACACTGAAGAAAGTGGTTTTTCATTGCATTTCTTCTCGAAAGTAGCAGCAGTTTTATTCTTTGATGTCTTATTTTTGACTTTATTGTGCGGAAAGGTTTCGCTGAGACATGATGATCTAACAAAGTCGACCGAGTTTTCATACATGTCTGAGAAGGAAATTTACGGGAAAATTGGGGGAAATAGGTGCAGCAGAAAGAGACTGATTCCATTCTAGATATGTATTCCAGGAAACATATTACATATTCCATTATTTGTTCTATGTAAGCTCACTTAATTCCCCTTTCACGTGATCAAATGCATCAACAATAAATAGCCCATCGTCTTTTAGGTACACACTTTCCATAAATAATGATATCAGACAACTCCAACTGCAAAATACTAATCGATACAACATACAAGTTATAAATCAATTCAGTTCAGACATACAAAAGATGTTCCCCAGAAGCCAGTGATGCAATACATGAAAATATTTACTAGTTCAAGCCCACTTTCCTTCTCCCAACAATAACAATATAAAAAAATAATTTCCACTGTCGGCCAAAGAATGGTTTTCAGAAAACCCACAAAAACGAATTTATTCATGGCAAGTACACATTCAAAATGATAGGTGTTGCCCAACATGTTTACCGTATAACAAACATGTCCATAAAAACTTGCCATTTATAATTTATTATCTCCTCCGACACGATCAGATAGACAGGTCAAGTCAATCATCACAGTCTAAAAAACACCTTAGGAAAAAAATACTATGCATTTTTAGGAAATTTAAGCTTCAAAATGTCAACACATGCACTATATAAAACCATAAAGCCAAGCCACACAGGGTCATAAATTCGAAATAACATTTTCCTATTATTTATTCCAGACTGTCGAGCGACGACAAGCCCATCATCATCATCATTCGGGTCTAGTCATCTTGCAAATTTAAGCCCAAAAGGAAAACAACGAAGCACATGGAGTGGGAGGAATCCGCGCATCGAAACATCTCACAAACCCATCATCGTGTAAAATTGTTTTGTATTCTGAAAAAAGACAGTCGTACCACGACCACCTTATTTCTTGAACCAATATTTCCATAACTTTGAGTTATGCAGTACATATGGACGATTTGGCAAATCTGATTTGACACATTTGGGTTTCTCTCCAGTGAGTCAGAAATAAAACTTTCGTGATTTTTTTTGTTGTTCAAAAATTGAGTCTTTGATCTCAATGTCAACATTGCCGCGACCAAGTTTCGACACGAAGTAGGAGAGAAATTGACACTAACGAGTATCCAATCTGGTGTTTCGTAGAGGGAATGCATCCCAGCCGTACAGATTCCGAACAGTATTGACTCAACCCATCATCATCATCATCACCATCACCATCCGTCGCGGTGACGAGGAGACTTTACATCTTGTGGAGTTTACAAGGCTTTCAACACCTTGAGAGTAAGTAAAGATACACACAATTTACTTTAAACTTTTCATGCGACAAGGAGAAAAGGTAGGTAAATAACACGGCAAACTAAAAAGTTACATCATCGTCCATCCATCTTTAGTCTTGGGCTGGGGTTCGGAAAAAAAACAACAATAAAAGTGAAAAGTTTCGATGTTTACGGCCTCATTGTGGGGTGATGTTTGTTCTTTGGAGATAACAACACTCTGATGACTTTGCTTTGCGTTGGATGCAGTACTTATCGGCGCTGTTCGTGCAAAAGTTGTCGGTTGAGAAATCAGTTGGTAACAGAAGTCGTCGGGTGAAAATTGGGGGACAACGTGACACCATGTTATAGTTACGGTGTCTCATATTTCCCAAAAATTGAACCAATGATTCCCTTAACCAACAGCTTTTGCACGAACAGCGACAATATGTATGCATACCCAAAGTCAGTATTACGTAACTCACACGGCATACATTATATGATTCCGATACGTGGTTCAAGTTTAAGTTGATTCACTCACCAACTTATTACTTTGGGAAGAAAAAAAAGACGCCACGCCACGGCTCCAGGTTTTTCTTCTTTTCTTACTTAAAATTCTTTCCCGCAATCCAATAAGGGAGCCAAGAAACCATGTTCAGAACTGCGGGGTGCGTCTTTGTAATTTGAAATTTGCACCAATAACGATTGAAGGACAGATCAAGAAAGATTCGACCCTCTTTTTTTGTGGAGTGTTTTACTTATAAAGCTCACCGAAGCGGAGCAATGTTGCTTGTGGATTTCGTTGGGTGTAGACATTTTAAATCCAACCTTGTCCCAACACCTTAGAATTCTAGTCAGGAGAGACACATCCTTCGGCTCAGATTGGCATGGTTTTGAACGCATTATAGCAGAAGAAAACTCATTCGCCTCTCATCGTCATTGTCACATTTTCTCCGGTCTGGACAGAGAAGAAAAACTGCTTCGAGATGTGACTGCTCTTTCTCCCGAATGAAATGCGGCGACAATGGTGAAAGTGAAAGCATATACTTTTTCATGGAAGTGGGACCCAGTTCAAGAGGCAAAGTGAGAAAGGAGAGCAGAGATTGACGGTCCACTAAATTTCTACACGTAGCCGGTACATAGTTCTCGACAGGAGCGGCGGAATCTGGGGGGACATTAACATTGTACGATAGGGGAGGGAGGGGTTTATTTAACATGGGGAGATGATGGGGACATCGAATAACCGTGGGGACATTGTCCCCACCCTTCCGCGGCCACTGTTTCTCCAGCTTCGAGTAATAATATATGTAGTAGTGCCACTTCAGCTCCTTTCATTTCCTCCCCATAGTGAAAGTCACAGAAGAAGCCCCAATTGTCCGGAAGACACAATTCATTCGACACATAACTTGTGTGTGTGCCATAATTTTTTGCTTTTGAAAAATATGAAAGTTTTTGTGATTCAAGTTTTTTTTTCTTCTTCCCCACTTCCGAGGCAAGGTTTATAGTACAAGTGCAAATTTTGGCAAGCAGAGAGATTATTTGATTCGAGTGAAATATGCTGTTTATATTGAGGCTGGATTCTTTTTTTTTGCGGCTGGCAATTGATTATCTGTCAATGGATCATTGTATAAGAAGAGTAATGCGAGAAACGAATTAATTGCAAGCGTCAATCCGAATCCTCGTTGCTTTATTCAGTATTTTAGTTCGTTCATTTCTGTGAGAAGTGAAGCAATTATAAAAATTAAGGACAATCATGATACACGATTTTGCTGTATGTATGAAGCCGTCATCATTCATCAGAGATATCAACTTTCAGTTCCGTGTCATACGAGATGTTGCATATTTATTATGATCCAGTCTTGGTCTATTTGTTGTGCATAAGTAGCACAAAATATGAAACTTTGCGCCGGCCATTAATAATAATTACTTACTTGAAGGTAGATATGGACGGCCGTTGATGTTTTCCTTTGTCTAATTACGCAGACCTTGTTTTCTCTGCCGGATAACGTGTTGATGGTGCGAATGACAATATGGCTATTGAATTAAGTAATTAAGCACCGATGTTGACTGATGAGAGAATGGATGGAAACTTGATCCATGTCGTTGTAATGGGGGAACCTATAATAAAATCCAATAAAACAAAGAGTACCAGGCCGTACGGACGGTATCTGGTGACCAGTGGCCGCGGAAGCTGTGGGGACATTAACATTGTAGGATAGGGAAGGGAGGTGTTTATATAACATGGGCAGATGATGAGGACATCGAACAACCGTGGGGACATTGCCCCTCTGTCCGCCGCCACTGAAGAAGACGATAGATTTTCCTGAATTTTCATTATCTTTATGAAGACATAATAATATATAAACTCTTCAATTCTCCTACGTATTTTCTCCCTGTGTGGGAAATATTTGGTTCGAATTCGTCGCAGACGGGACAGCAATAAACCCACTTTGTTTGGCCTTAGCCTCCAGCACAGATGCGTATGAAGGGTTATAAAAAAAGTGGTCTGCTGCTGCTGCTGACCCTGCAAATGCCAAAGTTTTTCAATAACCCGACGACTCCCAGTGATGAAATGGCCAGTGCTACGAACGGATAGTATTGTACAACTATGTTCGTAATAAGAATGTTGCTTAACGATGAATGCAACGCACTTGTCCTAATTCTGTACCCACTTTTATGACGAAGCACAAACGAAGTGCCAAGGAAAAGGATATCCCATTTGGGAATCAGACGAATTTCCCAAAAGATGCAGACAGCCAGGCCCCAATTTTGGGATGGGAAACATGACAATTTCAAATTAGCATAAAATCTGCCACAGCGAGATTTTGCTAGCAAGGATGTAAGGAGGTCGATTTGATCCGTGTAAAAAAAAACTCGTGACATCGTAGAATCCTTTGTCGGATCATATCACTCTGCTTGACGTCCCGATTTTTTTCCAGTATTTGCAACAATACTCCAAATATTTTACAAGTAGGATTCGCAATAATTGTCAAAGCCGTTGTTTGAGCAGGGAACTTTCTTTGTATGGATTTATTTTTTCCCAGATCCGCGAATTACGTACTTACTTACTTACCTATCTCCTTGCACAGGATGTTACAATGAACCAGTTTCTTTCCCCATTCCGTCCATAAGTAGGGTAAGTATCAGAATAAGTCATTTTCAGAACGTGTCTTATCAAGAACATGTGTCCGTATTGGAGGAGGAAGAAAAAGCAATTTCCGCTTCATTTTAGCCAAATGTATTTTATTACAACTTGACAGTGCAAATGACAGTGCAAATGCATGTGAAGCAATAGGCATGAGGAAATTGACAGGTGAAATCTCACGATTATAGGACAGAGGAAGGTCAGTTCTGAGAAAAACGGGGCTTACATTCTTCTTATCGTGGAGCCTTCATTTTGGTGAAAGTCTGTCATTTCGTTGTCCTAATGTTCTTTCATTACTTGCACTCTTTCTGTTCTGTCTTCTGCAGCTGCACGAATTTGATAGGTTTTGTGTATATAGGAACATTGCATTACAAACTGCACCGCAAAACCTGTAAGGCTTTAATTGTCCGTTATATTCCTTTATCCTTGACAATTCCATCCCGAGGAAAAACTGTTAAGCAAACCAAATGGCCAGTTCAATTGAATCGAGGCTTGTTGTCTTGTCTATCGCCACAAATTCAATCGCTTTGAAGATTGTGGACCAATAACAGACACAGGCTCTAAATGACAGGGCAAATGGACACATTCCCATTGAACACAAATGAAATACTTTGTTGTTATTTTATCTCGATAAAAAAAACAAGTCGAGCGAAATCTTGGGCATTTAATCTTTCCTAGAATTTAGAAATGGACAATAGTCTATGAAGAAAGGAAGGTATTTACATACATTGGGAGAAATAAGCAATAAAACATGACCATGGATTCAAGGTTAGTTTGGCGAAGGTCAAATTGGCGAAAATAAATTTTAAAATTGTGATAAAAAATATTATGAAAGTACCGTGAATGAGCGAATTTGTGCAAAATGAGCGATTTTTTTTCGCCAAATGGGGTTATTTTGTGGTGAAAGTTTTTCGCCAAAAGCGTTTTCGCCTTTTCGCCAAACTGAATGTCTTCCTGCAAAACCATAAATATTCGAAGCATCCTCTTCCCCCAATATTATAATATTTGTGTTCTTATTACTCAAACCAGATCAAAGGTTGAGGTTGCACAGCACAGCTTGAAATTAATATCTGACTTTATTGAATTCTACTACTATGCAGATTCCGATAATAATACCGATAGAATAATATCAGACCACAAAGGTGCATTTTGATGAAAGGTCGTCGTCAGGCATTATTATTATTATTACACCATTAGTTTTCAGGTATGGTAATTTGTGTGAAGTGAGTTATATTAGTCACGATCTCTCCACCCTACCTTCATTGATGGCGAAATGTTTACTTTTCATCAGGCAATTCTCATTTTCTACTTTATTTAGTCTTCAAACAACAGGAAAATCGTATGTGAATTGAATAAATGTGTACCTATATATTCTTCATGAATCGATACCTTCATGAAGAAGTGACGCAGGCATACATAAATCTAAAAATAGAGGATGCAACTGCTTATTGACTGCAGTGGCCGAGGAAGCCGTGGGGACATTAACATTGTAGGATAGGGGAGGGAGGGGTTTATATAACATGGGGAGATGATGGGGACATCGAACAACCGTGGGGACATTGTCCCTCTGTCCCTACACTTCCGCGGCCACTGCTTGACTGATCTCCCTACATACACACATAACTGACTGAATGTGATGAACTTTCACTAATGACTGTACAACTATGTACATTCGACATGCCCAGGTTTTTACAGAATAGGAGAAAGTCATCCCTTTTTTCCACGATGGTAATTTGATTAACCATCAAAATTACTTCTCGTTCAAAACTTTTTACTTATTTATTAGAATTGTACGTCACAAAATGATAAAATAAAATGGGCGAAAGTTTTGCACAACGACATTAAGATTATTATAGCTCGAGTTGGGCCTCCAGAAGAGTTTT